GCCTGGACCCTGGGTCTGAGGGAGGGGGCTGGGCCTGGACCCTGGGTCTGGGAGGAAGAAACTAGATTGGACTGCCCCTCTCCTGCTTCAGGCGTGACTCTGGTGGGACGCCCACGTGGCGCGACAGGAGGGGCCCTGTGCCTGTTCTTTGCCGGGACGGGGCTGCTGATCGGCATCTTCCTGCTGCTGTGGTGTCTCTACCGCCGGGCGGCCCAACAGCGGCCCTTCGCACACCACCGGCTCCCCGACGGCGGGGATGAGCCAGGTGAGTCCTGCTTTCGCTGGAAGGTCTGCACGTTTCCTTAACCTTCTGGGCGCTTTAGGGCGCCCTGCCAAAAAATGCAGGACCCCATTCAAGACCAATAAAAGCACCCCCCACCCAGGCCACGTGCTGCCCTCTAGTTATCGGAAGTTTCACAAACACACCCCGGGCCCTCCCCAGGCAGTTGGCACCGCCCCTCCCGGGCTCTGCAGCGGCCTTGATTCCCCGCCCCCTTCAAGGCCCCGCCCCTTCCCGCGGAACCACACCCCCTCCAGGTGCCCCCAACCTTTTCTTTAAAACCCAGTTCAAATGGATGGTCGGAACCTCTCCCAGGAGACCGACAGGCCCCGGTCGCCAGACCCCGTCCTCCTGGGGATGACCCTTCCCCTTTGCTTTCACAGTTTTGCATTTGGACACCCCAAAGGACCCCTACGACCTCTACTTTTATGCGCCGGATGCCTGGGTCCCTTCACACATCGCCACCAAGCAGCCCCCTCCCACACCCCCACTACCACCCAAGCTGCCCCCGCCCCCACGCGGGGGCCGGCCCCAGCGCCTGGAGTCGCTGTCCCCGGCCACGCTCCCCAACAACTTCGTGTGAACCCCTTCCGGGCCCTCTGGGACCCGTGCGTTGCTAAGGGGAGGGAGAACCCAGAGGTCCTGTCCTCCTGGAAGGCTTGGCTGCTTAGTGGACTCCCCATAGAGGATCCGAGAAACAGAAACCGCTTTCGCTGATCTGAGAATTGAGCTGAGGCCGAATAAACCAGGTGTTCCCACAGCTTGAGACCTCCAACCTGCGTTCTGGGTGCCAGGGGCAGGGGTCAGAGTTGGCGGTGACTGAGGAAGAAGGGAGCAGGTGAGTGGCTGGTACTTTGGGATCTGAGAAGGGGGTACCTGGATCTGAGGATGGAGGGCTGAGGCCTGGACCCCTGGGTCTGAGGGAGGAAGCTGAGGGTCAGAATTCTGTGACCTTACAACCCAGGACCACTGAGTCTGTACACCAAAGCATTTTATTGGAGTGGGGCAGGGCAGGATTTACAATCACAGAGACAGACACCAAGACACGACCCTGCCCCAGGAAAAACACTCCTTTCCCCAGTCCCACTCCCTTTCCTGGGATTCTGTGACTTCTCCTACATATGTCCCCCAAATTCTAAACTGAAAGAGGGGTATCTGAGAGGGGAAGGATCCCAGACTTTAAGTCATTTAGCCCCTGAGGGACACAACAAATGGCCACTGAGAAACTTCGGGTAGTCTGATACCACCCAGGAGAATAAAGTGCAAGGAATTGGGGGAAGTGGGGGCATCTTGAAACCACCATGGGGAAGTTCAATGGTGGTGGCTTCAAACCATTGAATTAATAGACTAGAGCAGCCACTATTTAGACCTGAAAACTGTATCAGAAAAAGTGCACGGGGGAGGGGAGGAAGGCAGGTTGTTAAAACTGCCATTTTGGTTGTTTCCCTGGACGTTGTGCAAAGCTAGGGAGAAGGTTGGTGAATTTGGTGCATCAGCAGAATCTGCTGGTGGTAGGGGGAGGGGGGAGGGGTTGAAACCGCCGTTTTTTCCCTCAGAAACGCTGGTGAGAATGAATCCCTGGAATGGCGGGGATGGGGAATTGGTAAACCAGCCTAGGAAATGCAGAAGAGAAAGGAGAGATTTGGAAATTCTAGAGGAGGACCTTGAACTTTTCTGGGGAGGGGGACTGAGGAATCTCAGGGATTAACCTGAGAGTCTCTGGGGTTAAAGGAAAGGAGGGGGTGCCTCAAAACCACAAGAGTAAGAGATTGAACTGTCGGTTCAAATAAAGCCCTGAAAGGAGAGATTCGAAACCACTGAGGCAGAACAAGTAGAGAAGGGAAACTTCAAGGGGAATTGGGTATTCTTGAAACTGCCAGTCTGCAGCTTCACTCCCCCTGAGAGGCAGTTGGGAAGGGAAGAGGTTTTAACAGCACTGGGGATAAGGGAAAGTGCTTCTTAGGCCTGGCAGGACAGAGAGGAGTGGGGCTCCTTGACACTGCCACTCAGGCCAGAGATGTATGAAGTGGAGGTCCTGGAAACTGCCATTCAGTGGGAGGCACATGGTCAGTAGTCCCGGACAGGGGGTGGGGGCCTGGGAGGCTGAACCGTGCTGTGGGTTGCCCCATAGGAAGGAGGGGGAGCAGGGGGTGCTCCAGGGGGCTCCGCTTCATCCTCCATTTCACTTTCATCACTGCCAGCCAGCTGGTCATGGCCAACGAACCCACACTTCTCTTCACTCATCTCTTCGGGCTCTGCCCATGGCTGCTTCTCTCCAGAGGCAAAGACCCCATAGAAGATGACACCCCCATAGTGCACCAGGGAGGCAATGAGGAACACGTACTGCCACTCCTCCCGAGTCTGTATGTGGGACAACAGAGGATCAGGTCAAGTAAGAGGACAGGCAGACAGGGGTAGAGCGTGGACAAGGTGGGGGCTTTGGGGGGATAAGCAAAGAAAGGGAGGCTGAGGTTCTGAGAGCAGAAAGGGCAAGCAGTGGAGCCCAGGTGACACACGTGGTCAAGAAACAGCCAGGCATCATCTGGAGGGCAAGGGAGCCCGGTCTGCACACTGACCTTGTGCTTAGTCATGGCACCCACGATGATGGGGCACACCATGCCTGACAATGTGCCCACGCCGTTGGAAATGCCCATGAGGATGCTGGCATAGCGCGGAGCGATGTCCAGGTGGTTTACGTTGAACCCTGGCATGGAGGCAAGCCACGAGGCTTCACACCAGGGACTCCCACTGGATGTCCCTGACCCCCAGGGCAACTTCCTCTTTTTTATGGGGGGGAGGATACCAGGGAATTGAACCCAGGAATCACTTAATCACTGAGCTACATCCCCAGCCCATTTCATTTTCATTTTGAGACAGGGTCTCCATAAATTGCTTAGGGCCTCATTAGTTGCTGAGGCTGGCTTTGAACTTTATCCTCCTGCCTCAGTCTCTGGAGCCACTGAACCCCCCTCCCCCCACACACACACACTTTTTAGTCCACCTTTCGTAAGGCAGGAAGGTCCACTTCTGAGCCAGGAAGCTCCCTATATGTCTGACCAACACCCCACAAGCTGTGGATCTGCGGTTCTCACCAGAGATGGCGAAGCCACTGAAGCCCACCGCAAGGACCAGGAAGGAGATGGCCACGCCTTTGGAGTGCGAGTAGCCGACCACCAACAGCAGCGTGGCTTCCATGCCAAAGCCTAAGGAGGGCCGTGTCTCCTGAGTGCCCGCCAAGGTGGGGTGCAGGCTGCCCCAGACCCCCTGCCCAGACTGGTTCCCATCCCAATCTTTCTCTGTTCATCCCAGATGGGTGACCTCTGTACTGGGCCCAGGATTTTTCTCTCATTCCTCCAGACCCAGGAGCAGGCCCCTGGTTTCCCAAGACCAGCCTTTGCCACAGTCCCCTAAGTAAGCCACACCCAGAAGCTGCAAGATCTGAACCACATTTGTGCACCTTCATGCCCTCCCTCTGTCACCGCCCCCCCCACACACACACACTCAGTAGACAGCATGACCCCTGCAGATCCCTGCCACTCATAGCCCCAAATGTCCTGCTCTGCCCAGTCACTTGAAGGCCCACCCTTTCATACCCATCTTGGTCTCCAACACCCGCCTTGCCCTTACACGCTTGGCCTCTGAGACTGGTGCATGAGAATCTGTTCCTCGCAGGCCTGCCTTCATCCCTCCAACCCCGCTAGGCCAACCCGGCGGCGCTGTGGCATTAACCGCTCCTTTGACTATGCCTTTAGGCCACGCCCATCACAGGACACCCACTCTTTGCTTTTGCCAAACACCTCTCTGCTCCGAGGGGGAGGTCCCAGACCACTCACCCCCGCAGTTCATCAACTTGCGCACGTTGGTGGTGGACATGATGCGGCGGCTCCGCAGGAAGTCCGCAATCTGACCCCCGATGGGCACGATGATAGTCATGACCAGATGGGGCAGCGCTGACACCAGGCCCACCTGCAGGAGCAGGTGTTGGGGTGCCATCAGAGATTGCTGATTCGCTGTCTCTGCCTGCAGATGCTCCACCGGCTTCTCCCTGCCTGGGAATCCCTCTCTCACCCCCACCCCCCCACCCCCCCACCCCACCCCCGCAGCTCGCCCTCCTCCTGGGCCTACCTTGCTGATCTCAAAGCCAAACACTTCTTCAAAGTACGCGGGCTGGGAGATGAGGAGCAGGTAGAATGTCCAACTGCGGCAGAAGTTAGCCACGATGATGGCATAGACTGGCATAGACGTGAAGAAGCGCCTCCAGGGTGTGTTAAATTTCTGGGGGTTGGGGAATGGGAGAGGCCGCTAAGATGGAGACAGAGCTAGGTGCTTCTCCGGGTCCCTCCAGTGACCCCACTAGAGTCCCGTAGAGATCCGTGGATCCTGAACTCACTGAAGCTTCTAGGGATCTAAAGGCACTGGCCATCCTATTTCCCCACGGGGACCCCAAGGGATTTCAACCTCACCACAATATTTCAGGGATGAAGGAGTGGATCCTGGCTCTCCTGTGGCCTCTCAGGTTCTCAGGTGCAGCCCTATGAGACCCTCAGGGACCCATGTACATTGAGCCCAGGAGTTTCTCTATTCGCCACACCCCCTAACTCTAAATTCATCCACCCCAAGGACTAGCAAACCCCCACCTTCGGATCCTCCTGCTGCTTTGAACCGCACCTCACTAGCAGTTCCAATCCACCCACCTAACCCCGACCTAACCCCGCCCCCAGCACCTGCTAATCCCGTCCTCCAGGGAGCGTAATGGGCTCCTGGATTCTAGTTTTTGTGTTCCAGTCCTGTCTCCTCAAGTCTACAGGGACCCGCCGCACGTTCGAGCCCAGACATCCCTCCCGCCCGCCCAGCTTGGCCCCGGACCGTAACAGGGTTCATGAGTTTGGCGCTCTCGCCGATGGCGTCCTCGATGTACTTGCGCTCCTCCTCGGAGATGCTGGGGTGCAGTGCAGGGGACTCATAGGAGACAAGCAACCAGAACAGATACCAGAAGATCCCGAAGCTGCCTGAAGGGGGTCAGGAGGGCATGGGAACGGGTGACGACGGGCCCGCTCCGCCCCAGAGCCACCTGGAACCAGGCGTCGGGGGCCCTCACCGTAGACGTAGAAAACAGAGCTCCATCCCGAATACTGCACCAAGACCCCGGCGAGGGGCATTGCGACCACCGCCCCAGCATAGGAACCTAGGAAGAGGACGCTGGCTAGAAAACTGGCTCATCTTCCCTGGGCTCACAATGTGGACCCTCGGACCTCGCCTTTCTGGGACCCCAAGGGATTTCAACCCTTAAATAGCGCAACTTAAAATAGCGGAAAGTCTGAAGGAAAGACCACACCCCTTCTCCCTCGGTTGCAGGAATTGGGTCCTCAGCTCCTTTCTCTCACCGCAAAAGGCTGTCGTCGCCAGGCGACTCCGTTCTAAGGGAGGGGCCCATTTGCTCCAGATCCCGTGGCAGGCAGGGTAGGTGACCCCCTAGGTAGGAAAAAAAAAAAAAAAAAACCAAGGTCAATGAGAAGAGGCAGGGTCGGAGAGGGGGCGGGGTCGTATGAGGCTGGGCTTTACCTCTACCAACCCCTGCAGGATCCTCACGAAGATGACACAGCCATAGTGGACGCGGGCAGCTGAAGGGATCAGCATGTTTAGAGTGGAGGTAGCCACAATGGCAAAACCGAAAACCCTGATGGGAAGGGTGGGAGAGAAAGATTTCTAGGATGCCCTCCCCGCCCACACCAGGCTAGGCCCTATGTTCACTAGAATCCCT